TTTTTTTTTTTTTGTTAAGAAGAGGTAATTTTAAAAAAATCTAGATTCGTCATGTAGCAGCGCTGATCAAGCTGATACTCAAGAATGGAGTATACCTATTGAAAACACTTCTAATGTTCTTAACACTTCGAACACTGTTGTTTATCAGAACAGTAATGTTCAATATGACTCTCACTCTCCGCTCATGGTTAGAATTGGGCTAACAAAATTTTAATATGGAACAAAGTTTTTTTTTTCAATAACACTTATTTTACACCTTATTCCTCGATTTGTTTGATCTCAATTTTTTCTACCTATACTTTTGTAAAAATCATTTCACAATTAAATAATTGATAATTTGTAGACTAAGGTCAATCCGCCAGTAAGAAATGACCTTGATTGTTACGGCTATATTATGAGTGCCCCACAAGCTGCGCCACCGCACTCAGCTCATCAGTTTATGGGTGAAACTGTTCACGACGGCTCCTTAGCTACTATCGGTATTGTTTATTTTCTGGCCGTCAATGCTCTCCACAGCAAATACAATATCTTTTTTTAGTTACACTTATTCTAACTTTTTTAATGGCGCTATATTTTAGTACGCAACAATCCTACATCTCAAATGCCAGTATCAGAAACGAATCCAGACTACTATGTAGAACAGGTCTCAAATAATATGCAGCAAATGCCAGGCATTATTAACGAAATGCCTGTTCAGCATCAGTATTCGTGTAATTCAATGCATCAACCAGCAGTTACTATGAACAATTATGAACAGCATCAGTACTCATATAGTCATCTGGATGAAGCCACTGTTTTGGCCGCTTGTTCACAGATTATTCCTGCTGAGGTTATTTCTTCAAAAGAATTAGTTATATTAAAACGACTTACTTTTCAAATAATTTTCTGGCATATTATTTTAATTCATCTCGGAAAAAAACATTTGATTCTATATGCTTATCTTGTTTGGTTGATGGTTTCAAGTAATATTTTTAAAGCCGCTTTACAAAGAGGAACCATCGTACCAACATGCGCAGAGCAGTCAGCTGGCTCCAGAACCTGTAGAGCCGTTGCAGTCAGTAAGTAAACCGTTCATAAATATTAGTGTTGTCGTTCTTTTTTCGGAAAAAGTATTCAGATTACGATGCTTTAAGTAATCCGTCGAGTTTGAGCAGTGCTTAACGACTTGTCGTTACGTGAGACACATCTCACGTTCAAATGGTTTTGATTTTGCTGTATTTCTAGCATTATGAAGGTCAGCTTCCGAACAATACTGTATCAGATGTATTGGCTGTTCTGAATAACGCATCGAACGGCATGGATAATGTTGACGAACTTACTTCGTCATTCGAATGTATTGAGCTGAAAAGTAGCAGTACAACAAGGAATCAGAAGCAGCTGCGAAAGCAGTAGAATCCGATTCGTTATGAATATTCAGTAGGGCATGATTGCAGACTTCACTGTTTTGTTTTGTTTTTTTATTTTATTTTATATTTCTGGTGTTCCTTTCTTTGGTTTGTTTAAGAACCTTACTTACGTTCTTGTAATGGTTATGATGCGAAGTACAAGTAGTCAGGAGTATAAGAATTGTTACAGATGGAATAATTGTTTTTTACCTTTTTTCTTCACTTTTCTTTTCGTAGAGTAGAGTAATTTACAGGTTATTTACAGGTCACTCTTCTGTTGTCGCGGAAAAAATAGCTGTATTAAAAGCAAAAAAATTTTAATATTTAATTGCCAATGTAAGGGTTGAATATGAACTTGTTGCTCAATTTTAGAATACAAATTTGCTAGCTTTTTATAATAATTGTCTTACACTTGCCAATGTTTCCACCCACTAGGTTTTTTTCAAATGCTTTTTTTCTTCCCTTTTCCTTATTCCTGTTCAGTCCCCTCAAATCCATTATACGGTGTCGCAGCATTTGCTGGGAAAAGTTCCTGTTGCTTCGTTCTAATTCCGTGTTTCCTTTCCTACCCCTCTCCTCCTCTGTCTTGAAACCACTATTTGCCCATGTGTTTCCGCATGAATAAGATCTTCTAGGCGTTGTTTAAATGCTTTTTTTGCTTTCATTTAATTTCTTTTTTTTCTCCCTGTAATGTTGTTATTGAATTGGTTAAAGTCCTTCACCGTCCTGATTTGTTTAATAATAAATAACGTTTGGTGTACTGAATGCTTGACGGAAAAAAACCAGCAGCTACATACCGGTTACAGGGCGTGATATCTGAATGCAAATTTCTAAGCTTCTTCCTTACAAATAGGCAAAAACAAGATCGGTGAACGAGATATTTATTCCCTCATTTTCGTTTTTTTATTTCTTCCATTCTCCATAGCAGTTCTGCTGACAGAACATTCAAATTAATGGATATCGTAGACATTTTAAAAGATGATAGAAAAGTTGGTTACTGCTCATATCAGTGGTCCATTAATTAGTTGGTCTGTCAAATGGTAGACAGTCGTTCTTCCCGAACTTACAAACAAAAATGATGGGAACAAAAAAAGAAAAGTGGAAGGCAGTGCAATAAGTTTTGCTATTTGTACAGATAAAACACCTACTAACTTATCATCTTTTTCCATCCGCCTTCATCCGCTTTGACAGTGCAATATTTAATGCAAAAAATTGTTTGTCATTTATCTAGTTATTTATTCGACCATTCTATTTTATTCTACCAAATATTTACCGTTTTTTGCTGGGCAGCCATTTATCCCACTGTTTGATCACTAAATAAGGATTACAGTAGGTAGAAAAAGAAATGTCTAATTTGAAGGCGGTTGGAACAATAAAGTTAGCCCGTCAGTTATCTGCTGATAATGGTTCAGTGAATTCAAAAACAACTGTCAGCACTAAAGTATTGTTATCACTGATACACGTAAGTACACACGCATATACACAAATTGTATTACCATCAATTCATTCACTTGACAATCGATTAATCATCCATACTTTTAACATAGAAGTTGAAATGAGGCAGTTTTTTT